GTTCAGGGAGGGAAAGAGTGTGGATGCTCTAAGTGATATGGACAAGTCAACTTGCCCTTGATTCTGGGCACATTTTTAGGTAGAAGTTTTGGGACGGGGATGCCATGGAGATTGATGAAGCAGCAAATGGGATTTGGACTTGGTAAGTAACTGTCCAGAGCAGGGCCGACAGCTTAACATAGGAAGACAGCACTGCTCTCTGAGGTTATCTAGGGACCCAGGCTGGCAGATGCCTCTGGCCTTCTCAACATAAAGCTCCCATCTCTGGGTTCAAGGACATGATCCTGTTGTCCTACTTCCCATTTCGTGAGAAGAGAGAAGGAGCAGGCTCTGTCTTCAAGCACTCGGTTCCCCAGCATACTGATGAGGTGGGTCTTTTGTCTGAGTTTCCATGCTTGAGGTGACCGAGGGAATATGTCTTTCATTGGCCCCCAGTAGGGAGTTAACTGACTTGATTTTCAAAAAACCAATCTCTATTGAGGATTCATGATTTGTGGCAGCCGATTTGGAATAGCAACTATGGGAGAGAAAATTTGCTCTATGAACTGGCTTCGACCAATTTGGTAAGAGACTGGAGGTAGCAGAGGAGGCCCTAAGAGTGAAGGGGGGTGGATTATTTCCATTTTAATCACCTGTAAGATATACATGCTCCCTCTCTGGTATAGACAAAGTATTTTATGTATATAGAAATAAAAACGTCCTTTTATTTTTTATTTTTTTAATGTTTTCATCTAGTTTTGAGAGAGAGTGCATGAGCTGGGGGGGGGGGGAGTGGGGGGAGCAGAGAGAGAGAGGGAGACACAGAATCCGAAGCAGGCTCCAGGCTCCGAGCTGTCAGCACAGAGCTCAGCGCGGGGCTCAAACTCGTGAACTGTGAGATCATGACCTGGGCTGATGTTGGACACTTAACCGACCGAGCCACCTAGATGCCCCGAAAGCATTCTTTTAAATGCCATATTTTGGAGCTCCACTAAATATTTAAGCCCTAACTCTGTTCCACATTTCTTACGGAACAAGAGATGTATGAAGAAGAAGGAAATAGGAAGAAATGAATGGTAGACATGAGTCTCAGACAAACCTGAAATTCACATCCATGGAAGAGTATGGTGAAGACCATGTGTGGAGGATGAAGGAAACATTCACACTAAGAGCTTCTTGGGGATGCGTTCTGGGCCTTTGAGCCTGTGTAGTCACCACATGGGAAATAGGCTTCCAAGTAACGGAGGACAGAACGTCTGGGCTCAAGGGAGCTTAGAAGCCACCTAGTCCAAACCCTCTCTTTTTACAAAGAAGGAATGGAATCTTAGAGATGGGCAGGCGGCTTGCTCTAGTCACACAGCTAGTTCATGGCGGCTTGAACGTCCAGGTATGTGCTCTAAGCAGAGCTCTTGCAAGCTTGGGTGGGGATAAGAGGGGAGGTGAAGGTGAATTGTGATCCTCCAGAATCTAGAAAACGCCTCAGAGGTTGTGTCTCAGGCTGATCAAGCCTGGACTTTCTATCCATGTGAAATATCCCTCAGCTCTTAACTCTGGGTCACTTGGCCTCAGATCCTCAGAGGAGTAAGTCACTTGCTCTTCCGTCTGATGTGTACGAAGCTGTGTGTAGGACACTGTGATGGAAGAAGTTGTTTGTGACGGTGGTGGCAAGGCCATGGTCTCAAGGCTGTAGCCGAAAATGGATCTCCCGTCTTTCCTTAAAGGCAAGGGAAGTGCCTAGGACAATACCAAGGGTCCTCCCGTGGGGAATTTTCCTGTTTTTCCTCTTTCTGTTGCAGGAAACTCATAAGGCCTGTTGACATGAAGCCAAGTGACTAGGCTGTTCAGTGGGAATCTGGTCGTTTCTTACGTGTCTGAAATGATTTGGGGGAGAAAAGTAGAAGTGGTATTAAGGAGGTTCATCCCAGATACCTATATTTAGAAAAAGAACAAAACAAAAAACACCAATAGTTCTCTCTGCTTCATGGTCCAAAAACATCTTTTGGAGAAAATGGGACTTGTCAATCTCATGGGTGTTTGTGAACCATCCCCCAACCCCCACCAGATTCACTTCCTCCTGATGTTAGTAATTGTTCTAAAATATAGTGAAGTTTACAGGTGCTCTGATCTCTCGTTGACTGTTGTGAGCTCACGGTCAGTACTGCTAATATACGTTGCCTCTCTTCCCTAACGCCTCCTCCTGGCACCCAGGATAAGTGTGTCCGCGGCAAAGGTGGTGTGGGGGCGGGAGAGCGAATGTTGGGTCTTTGCC